AAAGTGTTAACAATCAGGAAATCGGTTCATTGACTGACCTCCTTAGAGTCACCAGCGTCAACAAATTCTCTCTTCTTCTCGAAACGCTGCGTCGAAAATATGTGCAACGCATAGACATTCCAACAGGTCAGTATACTACTGAACTCTTTTCTCAACCATGCGAAATCAGCATTTTCGACCTTAATAAAAAACCAATAGCCACACAGTCGGCCATTCAGTCGCGAGGTGCGCGGTCTCTCTGTCCGAGAAACATCTAGTATTGCAAAATGCGTCGAGCAGAGTTCCGTGAGAATCAAGTGTCACGCGAAAAGACTCAGCTTTCTCGTTAAAACGACTCAAATTTTCAAACCATTTGTAATTAGAACTGTTAGTTTAAAAATATTTAGATTTATTCTTAGTGTAGAGGCATAGTTTCATTTTGTCAAGAACATTGTATCATCATCCGTGCGTCGAGAGGAAGAGAGAGAGAAGGGAGCGAAGAATCGAACTCGTTAACCGTTTCTGTTCATCTAAATATCCCGTGAGTCCGATTAAAAACCTGGATATTCTGTCCTCAGTAATTAAGGAAAATTGTAATATCTTTTGAATACCCATTATATTTTCATACTTCATTTCTTTTGGCAAAATATATAATAGTTATTTATTCAATTTTGATAATTATTTAGTGCGTATTTCCCAAACCTTGTGTCCAACGAGCGAGAGGCTTGTATAAGTCTAGACCGAATCCGAATCCTATAATATCTTTCCTTCACAAAGAAGGTGTTTAAGCGTTGCGTCGGATCATAACAATCCGCAGACTAGTCACCTACCACTACGCCTGCTCCGCACGTAACAGCTAAACTGGTGGCAGCGGTGGGATTTGAATTTGGTCAATTTCGTTCGTTGATGCAATTTTGGGAAGTCAAAATTTAAGAAAACCTATAAAATTTAACGATAACCTGAGGACAGACCGATAATTGAATCTTTCGTTTTGAATACCAACAATTTTGTAAAAGGGAAGCCCCACGGATCGATTGGCTATAGTAAGACTTGTAAGTCAACCATCCCTTAGTTTTTCTGTTCTATTCGGCTATAATTGATAACCGAGCTATTCTATTTTCTATCTGACCAAATATTAATAACGTACAAAATGTCTTTATCCAACCACACAATGAACACAAATTCAAGTAATCCCGATTTAAACATCACAAACACGATGCTACCATCAATGGCAGAATGCTTTACCTTACAATACGGTACACTAAATATACCTTTTTTCGATGGAAAGAATGTACCATTAAAAGACTTCCTGCAAGACATTCAAAACGGTGCAATTTACGTACCACCGGCTAGCGAAGGAGCATATGTTAGAGCAGTTATAGACAAATTACAGGGATCCGCCCGCAATAGTACATACGGAAAAACATTTGGCTCGTTAAACGAATTGATTAAACATTTAAAAACTAAGTTCGCTCCAGGAAAATCTTTTCCGTACTGTCAACATGAAATAGGGAAAATTCGAATGCAGAGAGACGAATCCGTAAGTGATTTCCACGAGCGATTAAATATTTTAATTAGTGGTGCTCGAAATGCGATAGAAGATTCTTATGGTAAAGAGACCGAACCTATGATACGTCCTGTATTAGAGTGTGCTTGTGATGCATTTCTCCGAGGTTTGCCTGACGATATGGCGCGTTATGTGGATGCACGAAATCCTAAAGATTTAGATGAGGCAGCAAAATATGCAGTTCGATTTGAAACCCGCATAAAATCCGGAATATTTTCTTCTCGTGATGAATCCAACAGATTATTCTTGTCTCGACAAAACGAATCATACCAAAATTCTCGATCAAATTCTCCTAATCAACATGGAACAGAGACACATTTTTCCACTCATCGTAATCGACCTCGAAGCCCAAGTCCGATTCCCCATAAAATTACCGAAATTTCAGAATCGCCAACGGGGATTCTCAAATCACCACGAAATACTTCCGAACAATATAAATACCAACAACCCAACCTTCCTCAGTACCTACCTCATCCATATTTTCCTTACTCACCTTATTACCCAATGCCTTATCCTCCTTATTATCCACCAAATCCGTATGACTCTCGTAATCCATATAACTCTTATTCCGCTAATAGTTTCCAGTATCAGACGACTCCCTCGGGACCTCCGCGAAGTCCAAGCCCGGGTCCTCACACACCCTTTACACCGTCAAACTCAAGGTTAGAACAGCGAAAACCTTCTCATTACAACGACAATAGATCCACTTCACCGACTCGTGTTCGTTTCTCCTCACCACAACCTCAATCGTCATCCAGCTCAGATTTAAACTCCAGAGTAACTCTCCAGAATGACGCGACGGAGGGTTACCAAGACCCAATGCGTCATCCAACGGTACGACATTTAGAGAGAAACCAATAGTATTAGACTCACCTCTTATCAAATTATCCGCGGACAAACTCAGGTCAAAAACAGCCACATTTTTAATAGACACAGGCGCAGACATTAATCTAGTTAAATTGAAAGCCTTGCACGAGGATCTGACAATAGATATTCACGATTCAACCGAAATGTCAGGAATTACTTCAGAGAAGGTTGAAACTTTAGGAACAACCACAATAACAATTTTAGGCCAACCCGTAAAATCTCACGTAGTAAGATCATCATTTCCAATCAGTAATGACGGAATTCTAGAAAAAGACTACCTGAGACAAGAGCAGGCTGAAATTTCCTTTGCACACAATACGTTAGTAACAGAAAGTGAACCTATCAAACCATTTCGTTTTATTGGTGAAAATCCTCCAAAAGAAAAACCACGGCAATACAAACCGAATTCAAAGTCGATCGCGACAAGCAATAGCCATAGATACAATTGATTGTGATCTAAAAGAAGGTTACCTCCCTTTGCTTCAAACTAAAGATGGAATATATATTGGAGAAGCAGCCGTAAGCGTCAATCAAGGTGTGTGCCATGTTCTCGCGATAAATACTTTAAACCAAGACGTGGAAATAGAAATTCCACCAAGTAGTTGTTCTATGCGGATTCTAAATCACTGGCGTCAGCATTTTTTTTGCTGACTCAGCAGTAATTTGACACCATCAGCAGAAATATCATACCCCCCTCCCCGCCCCCTCTCCCCACCCCATGACCTTGAACTGAAATTTGACACCACTGTCAGCAGAAATATGATACGTCCTCGACAACCCTCACCCCATAACTACCCCTCCCCACCCCCTATCCCCACCTCATCGCCCCACCCCATGACCTTGAACTGAAATTTGACACCACCGTCAGCAGAAATATGATACGTCCTCGACAACCCCCCCACCCACACCCACCCCTCCACCCCATCCCATGACCTTGAACTAAAATTAGACGCCACCGTCAGCAGAAATATGATACGTCCTGACCTTGAACTGAAATTTGACACCCCACCCCATGATAACCCCCACCCCCCACCCCATGACCTTGAATTGAAATTTGACACCACCGTCGGCAGAAATATAACACCCTACCCCCACCCTCCATGACCTTGAACTATTTTTGTCTTATCGGAAGACGGCACAAGGCCCTAAGTGGAAATGAGGTTTTTTGTTGGCGCAGCAAATCTGACGCTGCAATTCGCGACTATAGAAGGTAGAGGTTCTGCTCATGACCTTGAACGAATTTTTCTACGTCTTGGAAATGCGGTTTTGTTGACGCTGCAGAGTGAACAGCAATTAAACACTTTCGTCAATGACAGCCTCACTTTAATAAAATGGGAGAAAATTGGCAATGTGCGTCATATGTAGTTTGACAATTAGAAGTGCAAGGATACTTAACGCGTTTGTGGAAAAGAGAAATGGAGGCCACGTTACTGCAGGAACTCGAACGCATCACCGAATTATTGGCGCAGCGGGCGATAAACATCAATACTGAAGATGAGCATTGCGATTGCTTGATGCGATGTGATCAGTGCATCGAATTGATAGACGAACGATTACAAATGGGAGACGATTTATCAATCGAAGGATGGCGAGACATAGAAGCATACAAAGAAAGAATCGACGCCTTGCGTAGAATATTGTATCGTGACAATGATCATCCTAGTGGTCAAAAGGCAATATTACTAAACGAACTTGCTTGTATAGAACAACTTTTGTCACAACGTATTGCAGCCATAAGTAGTAACGACGACCGAAACGCATGTCTGGTGCAATGCAATCAATGCATTGATTTAATGATAGAGCGATTGCAACTGGAAAAGGACTTATCAACTGGTTTGAAAAATAGTTTAACAGCCAGGATAGCGAGATTTAAATCGTTGAGAGCAGAGTTACACGGATCTGTAAAAGTAGGCGAAGGTCAAAGGAGAACAGATGCTGAATCACATGCATCATCATCATCTCTTATCTGGGAGGATGTAGAATCAGCTTTCCATAACCGGATAACTACAGGAATTATAATCAACACCGAGCATATTGAACCACGAAACTTTTTGGAAGATGCTAGAAAAATAGTATTCCAACGTCTAGCGGAAGTTTTCCAAAATCATTCATGCATAAAAGTGAATACGGTGTTGTATGGGGAGTTTACCGCTAATAATAAAACTGATGTGAAAAGTTTCAGTGCGAGAAATAAACAATTATTTTCTACATCAAACTTGAACGATTGGTATAACAAATACGTAGTGAACTCAACTTTAACACTGATGGAAGAATTTCAGGAACGGGACAGTGGTTGAGCAATATCGAAAATTCTGCATTTGATGTTAAATATCAATAAATGCAATCCGATGCATGTTGGTTGTTACACCGACATACCAAAAACAATCATGGACAAAAGAGCGGTAGTAAATGTGACAGTTGACGATGATACGTGTTTTGTCAGATCGATAATTGCAGCATTATATCCCGCCCATGTGAATGCAAATCGACCATCATCGTATCCCAACTATGACACCGTTTTAAATTTGGAGGGCATCGCATTTCCAATAACGCTTAATCAAATACCAAAATTTGAGCGTCAAAACGATGTTTCGATAAACGTTTATTTCTGGGACATGAATGTGAAAAGGTGTGCTCCGCTCCAACTCACCACTAACAAAAGATTTCGTCACGTTAACCTGCTGATGCTTGAAACGCCCAACCGTAATGTGCGCCACTTTGCATGGATTAAAAATCTTTCCCGGCTTGTTTCAAACCAGCTCAGTGCACATAAGAGTAAAACTTATATTTGTGACAGGTTTGTATCACGCCATTACCATCTATTTTAGTGTATGCGTTTGTTCTTTTTGTACTAATGCAGTTACTTTGTTTATATGCAGATGCCTTCACTACTTTTATGCAGAAGAAAAGTTATTGAAACATACGAAGGACTGCATGAAGATGAACGATTGCGCAATCATTCTACCATCGAGTGAGGATAAAATAATAAAGTTTGATAATTTTTGTCACCGAGAACGTCATCCATTCATCGTGTACGCCGATTTCCAATGCATGCTTAAGAAGATTAACAGTAACATCAATCAAGGACACTGCAATGCATACCAGCAGCACGAAGCATACAGTGTGGGATATTATTTTCACTGTTCGTACAACGCATCGGTGTGTGAGTATCGCGCGTATCGGGTCCTGACTGTGCTGAATGGTTCGTGAATGAACTTGAGAACCTTGTAAGAAAAATTGCACCATTATTTAATACGATTGTGCCCATGACAAATTTGACGGGTGATGAAAGAGAAAATTATATGAATGCAACGCATTGTTATATTTGCGAAACACCGTTCGACATTGACGAAACAAAAGTTCGAGATCATTGCCATTTCACTGGTCGTTACCGAGGACATGCTCATCAGGGATGTAATTTAAATTATAAAAATAAACGTTTTATACCAATAGTGTTTCATAACTTATCGGGATACGATGCCCATTTTGTAATAAAAGAATTGGTAACGATTATCGAAGGCTCGACATCAGTCTTGCCAATTACAAAAGAAAAATATATTTGATTTTCAACGAATTTAAAACGTTACAAAATTTCGCTTCGATTTATAGATTCATTCAAATTTTTAAATTCAAGTTTAGATAAATTGAGTTCGTATTTAGGGAAAGACGATATGACGATTTTACGGTCACAATTTAATTTTTTGAACGAGATAAGATTCGATTTGCTTATACGAAAAGGCATCTTTCCATACGATTATGTTACCGACTACATGAAATTGAACGAGACGACATTGCCGACATGCGACAAATTTTATAATCAACTAAGCGACTGTGCCGTTTCACAGCAGGATTATGGCCATGCGATAAAAGTCTGGTACAGTTTTAATATAAAAACACTTGGCGAATATAGCGGTTTATATCTAAAAATAGACGTTTTATTATTGGCCGACATTTTTGAAAATTTTCGTAGCAGCTGTTTGAGAAGTTACAAATTGGATCCTGCATATTACTATACTTTACCTGGTTTTACGTGGGATGCAATGCTGAAGCACACGCGTATCGAATTAGAATTATTGACAGATATCAATATGCTACTTTTCATAGAGCGCGGCATACGCGGCGGTTTAAGTCAATGTTCTAATCGATACGCAAAGGCCAATAATAAATACATGGATTCGTACATTTCCGAAGAACCATCGCGATATTTAGTATATTTCGACGTTAATAATTTGTATGGATGGGCAATGTCGCAGTATTTACCTTACGGCGAGTTTAAGTGGTTAGACGATAATGAAATTAAAACTTTTAAAATTCATGCAATATCCGAAAATTCGAACATTGGATATATTTTGGAAGTCGATTTGAAATACCCGCTAGAATTACACGATAAGCACGCAGATTTACCTTTTTGTCCAATACGCGAGAAGCCTCCTAATGCCAAACATGAGAAACTACTCGCTACAGTTCAGGATAAGCAACGTTACATCATCCATTACGGCAATCTTCAACAATGCATAAATCATGGCTTAAAAGTTTCTGTAATTCATCGCGTTTTAGAATTTAAACAATCTCCATGGCTTCGCGAATACATTAATTTAAACACACAACTTAGAACTGTAGCTAAAAATGATTTTGAAAAGAACTTATTTAAATTAATGAATAATGCAGTCTTTGGTAAAACTATGGAGAACGTTAGAAATCATGTAGACGTTAAATTAGTTACAAAATGGGAAGGTAGATACGGGGCTGAGGCCCTGATAGCAAAACCAAATTTTCATAGTAGATCAATATTTTCGGAACATTTGGTTGCAATAGAGATGCGAAAGTCGGAAATTAAATTTAGAAAACCCATTTATGTTGGTATGTGTATTCTGGATATATCAAAAACACGTTTGTACGAATTCCATCATGATTATGTTTGGCCGAAATTTAAACATCTTTGTAAAATATTATACACAGACACAGACAGTCTTATATACGAACTGGAATGTGATGATATATACGATGTAATGAAACGCGATATACATCGGATTGACACGAGCGACTATACCGAGGACAATGTTTACAGTATGCCACGAGTAAATAAAAAAGTACCAGGATTAATGAAGGATGAAAATAATGGATGTATAATGACTGAGTTTGTCGGACTTCGGTCGAAAATGTATGCTTTGCGCGTAGAGGGCAAACGGGACACGAAAAAAGTGAAGGGCGTCAAAAGTAACGTAGTTAGGAAAACTATTTCCTTCGATGATTATATACGTTGCTTGTATGATCATTTAGAAGTGCATCGTGAACAGAGATGTATTCGTTCAAAATTGCACAATGTATATTCTATATGTGAAGAAAAGAAGATGCTTAGTCCTTACGATGATAAACGATTCATAATTCCACAATCCACAAGAACGTTGCCTTGGGGACATTATAAAATAAATAATTATTCCTAAAAACATAATTTATTCTTTGCTCCACGAGTAAAATATTATTAATTTCCAAGTATCTTTATAAGCCTGTAGGGTTTCGAGCTCATGCAAACCTTGCAATTTCATGAGAGAGAGACCGGAGTTCTTACTCATCTCAGGTCTTAGAGTTTGGAGGGAGATGTTTTCTCAACTCGCACGTGATTATCGCCCTTGTACTTGGCTGGAGCTGCATTCTTTATGTTAGAATATACGGACGATAAGAGTTTGTCCGCGTGTTCCGGTGTTACGTCGACGGGACACATTCTAATCGTACGATGCCTTCTATTGTTATAATCTGAGACCAGCGTCGGTAAGACGGTTCTCCACGTTGAAAAATTGTCGACGTAGAACTAATCGTCCCTATGCTCCTGGCAAACCTGGTGGCGGCTTGGTGGTATATAAACTGGTCGGTTGGGTGTTGCAATTACTTTAAAAGAAACTTTGGCGCGTAATATGGATCTATCACGATACAAGAAAGACGTATTCAGATCTTGGGTGAGTAGTCCTGACATCATTCTTTTTTCTTTTTTGTTTTTGATTTATTATTCCGTTTTCTTGTGATGCCCTTTTTCAGCGCGAAGATGGTACACACGTTGTTTACACGGGGCATATTAACCTTGCATACCGGAAGGCCGTCCGGTGGTACCGGGCCTATTTTCGACATACCCTCCAAGAACTATGGGAGTGGGATGAAGATAACATCCTGAACCTTGCGCCCCTATTTGGAGAGGAGGGATAAATTTTTTATATAAATAATATAAAGATAAATTCTTTTAAGGAACAAAAAAAACTTGTGCAAAAAAAAAAATAAATCATATATATATTTTCTTCTTCTATGTGGTGCGTGTTTTTATTTTTATTTTTATCTTTATTTTTATTTTTATTTTTATTTTTTTCTTAAGCCTTCTGATCCCGTTCTTTAGTTTTAGTAGTAGTACAGGATTGTTTTGGTTTTGAAGCCGGGGTTCGTTGTTCCGTTTTGTTGTGCTTCTGGTAGCTCTGCTATCTGTAGATCTGAGGGCAACGTTGTTGGGGTGGCGGTCGATCGGTTCTGCATCTCGATGTCTTCTGGCGTGAACTGGCGACGTTTTTCACTAGGCTTGTCCAAAATTCGCTGCATAGAAACATTAAGATTCTCGTCGCTGCCACCGTACGTTTCAACGACATGTATCGATTCTTCACGATGAAAATCGGGACGATCTTTCGTCACATCCGCCGTCTGTTCACTTGAAGATGTACCAGGTTCGGAATAAATGCGTGCTCTTGCAGTTTGTGCGCTTTGAGGGTTAAGAAAAGGAGTTGACATCAATTTTTGCGGTTCTTTAATATTCAAAGTTGGGAATGTCGACTCGGATTTTATATCGATCGTGTCTGAATGTGGCGATTCCACTGACATATTCTCGATAATTCGTTCCAGCGGTTCTACCACAGGTCTCAATCGTTTTTCGACGACTAACGACTCGTCGATGCTGCTCGATTTGAGAGCTCTGCGTTTTTGCGTATAGCATCGCTTGTTTTAGCTATAGCATTCGCGACTTGTACAAGATAATAATATAAGATAATAATATAAGTAATATAAGAATATAATAAAGATAATGATATAAGATAATAATATAAGTAATATAAGAATATAATAAATTATATAACCGCTATCGATGTAATTTAGTTTTGCCGCACCCTTTTCCATACTTCCATTAATAAGTTATAAAAGATCGGAGAGAAAATAAATATATAGTAAAGATAAAATAAAAGAATTTTTTGCCACACCCTTCCCCATACTTATTTTAATAATATAGTAAAGTTATAAAGATAAAATAAAAGTATATAACCATTATCAATGTAATTTATTTTGCCACACCCTTCCCCGTACTTGTAACAATATAATAAAATAAATAATATGGCAAAGTTATATAATCGTTATTGCTGTAATTTATTCTTTACCTCACCCTTCCCCCTACTTCATTAATGTAATATGAAAATAAAATTGTAAAATCGTTAATGCGATATTAAAATTATTGCAATTTCATGAGAGAGAGAGAGAGGCGCCCGACTCGGAGTTCTTGCAAATTTGCAATTTCGTGAGATGCTGAAAGTCTAGTGTTTGGATGTATTAGGATTGGAGGGGATATTTTCTCGGTGCTTTATAAACCGATGAGTTTTCATTATCCACTATTCATTTCGTTATCCGCTGCTCGTTTCGCGTTATTCAGTTTACGATGGCCACCGTTCCGCGACTTGAAATACTTGCCTTTAAGGCACTTATTGAGCAGTATTGTAAGTAGTCTTTAACGATTACTTGTCTTGGTGTGTTAATTTTATTTTTAACTAGTTGTTTATTAAAAGCTGAAAGGTTAGGATTAGTGCCAATAAAAAGATTCATCGAAGTGCGCCGGAAGCGAGCAGACCATCGGTTCAGCCAGATGTTAATGTGGGCCGAAGGTTGGAATCCGAATCATGAAGGTTTATTCGATTTGAGGGCTCTGTTTGATGAGGAAATAGATGAGGGTCCTATTTGGGGAGATATTGATGTGTATCACCATGTCTACCATACGCGGAAAATTTAAGTGGTCAATAAATGCAATCCGATGCCGGTTGGAGGAGATGCTGATGTGAGTTGCCGTCCGTTTATGTCTTTAATTTATTAGATTTTACCTAATGCGAGTTTTATTTTGTCTGTTATAGCCTCCACCTCCCAGCAAATTGTATATAATGTATTATTGTATTGTATTGTATTATGTATTATGTATTACTGTATTAAAAAGTATTCAAAATTATCAATATAATTTATTCTTAGACCAACCTCCATTCATTTATAAAATAACATTCCTCTGTAATAAAAGTAAACACAGAATAAAGCCGAAAAATTATTTATTCACATAATCTGTATAATTACAAAATATTGTTCGCTCCTATCCATGAATTGTGCGTAGAATCAAACCCCAACCAGTTGACGAAAACTTTATTTCC